CATTGCAATTACCATAATGTACATTAATTTTACTTTAGCTATACATAGGCAGCCCAAAAATATAAGCCTTTGGTTTCTCTTTTGAGCTGCCTACTATCCTTAAGAAAGATATTTTACACGAAATTCATATCCATTGTATTATAGATATTTTGTAATTATCTTTTATATTCGTCTTTATACTCAATTTTCTCAATATGTAATTTAGTGATCTGTTCTGCCTCTCGATTTCGCCGTTTGCCTGTGGCCACAAGGGTGTGACTCTTCGGTGCTTGATGCCATAATCCAATAAATACTGCTCGAATGCCTCTGATACGAATTGTGGCCCATTGTCGCTTGATATTGATTGGGGTAGGCCATGACTGGAGAAGATCTCCTCTAATCTCTCGATGACTTTCTCAGTTGAGGTCGACTTCATTATTGCAATCTCGTAGTAACTGCTGTAGTAGTCGATCACTGTCAGCACAGAGTGCCCTGATGGCAAGGGTCCTAAGACCTAAGAAGTCTAACGCTAGGTCTTGCCATGGTCCATCTGGCAAGGGTGTAGACTTAATAGTTTCAGGTTGAGTGGGCTGCCATACTAACTGATACCCATGGCAAGCTAGCTAAGTCTTACAAAATTTCTCAGCGTCCTTCTTGATGCCTGGCCACCATACCTTTGTTCTTAGCCTATGTTTCATACTGACCACACCGAGGTGTCCTTCGTGGGCTAACGTCAAGACGCGGGGTCTAAGCTTGCGTGGAACTACAATTCTCGTACCTCTCAATATAAGCTTTCAGACGACACAAAGCTCCCCATTTGCCGGTATGTAATCTTTGCACTGAGATTTTCCACACTGGCCAGTCTTAATGCATTATCCCAATTCACGCATCTCTGCCTCCTCTTCTGATGCTTCTTCTATTTCTCTCGTGGTCAGTCACATCAGCTCCGACCTTCAGCACTCCTAACTCCGACGCTGTCTCTCTCCCTAGGAGAGGTTCGCCAACACCGTCAATCACAATAAACTCTGCTTGCGTCTCACTATTCCCAATGCCAGCCTGCGCAGTAAAGCTTTCCTAGTAGATTAAGTGGTTCGTCACTACCATAGGCATACAACTTCTAGTTTGATTTCCTGGAAATGCACTTTATCCTCTTTTCCTTCAAGCTCTTCCATGATGTTCCTTGTCTATGATGTTGACACTCGCTCCAGAATCAATTAACATTGGAATCACTTGTMCACCCACTGTTACTTCCACTTTCTCCATGCACCCCTTTGACTTCAAGCAAAAAACGTAATCATCATCTTCCGAGCCAACCACATTTACCTTGTCTTGATTCTTCTCCCTACACTTGTTTGCAAAATGGCCAGGATTTCCACAGTGGTCGCAGGTCTTTCCTTTGGCCGGACATTGCGGGTCCCGGCTATAATGACCTTTCCTTTCACACCTGCATTCAACGTTCCTTTTGTCATTCCTGTCTCCCTTTCATCCTTGCGGTCGCCTTTAACCTGGATTTCCCTTGCTTGAACAGTATTAACTGTCTCCTCAGATCTTGTGGACATGTTCTTCATGCCTCTTAACTGACTTTCGACTGCTTCCTGTGTTGCTGCAATCTTCAACAAGTCTTTCAACTCGAGTTTCTCTCCCTTTTCCAGCAACTTTTTCCTTAATTCAACGGATCTACACTTAAATACAACTTGATCCCTTATCTGACTGGACGCTGTAATCACAATCCTTAACAGCCTGGCGTWATCGAGTGACAAATTGTGATGTGGTCTCATCTCCTTGTTCCATGCATCGGAAGAGGTAATTTTGATATGTGGAATTGACCTGTAGAATGAAATATTTATCTAACGCCACAGCAATCTTGCCATATTCATGTGCTTGGCCGGCATCACGCAATGTTTCCACGATTTTCTGCGCTTCTTCACCCGCTGTATGCAAAAGCAGTGCCCTCTTCTTAACTTTATCGTCGTCTTTTCCGGTTACGATGATTAATCCCTTGCTATCAGCAAATAAAGTGAAAGTTTTCATCCACCTTTTCCATCGAGTTCCAACACTCGTTGGGTCGCCAGTCGGATCGAACGGCTTTATTCCTAATAATTCAGGAATTTTTACTCCAGCCATCTCCTAACTCGCTTATTACTCTTTTTCCTTAATCCTCGTCGCCAGATGTAGGTCGCAAGGTTGATGGCCTTCCTATACTCGAGATTACTTCGGATTATAACTCATAAGAACACACACGTTACTTCAAACGTCCGCCATCTTTAATCTCCCTTTTACAACCGCTAACCATGCATACAAATATATCGTAATACACTAGAAAAATGGGTTRCCATTTGTTTTGATTTGTGCCTCACTGGGCTCTACCACAATAGTTAGATCAGCATTTGTCACCATAATAGGTAATTGATTCTTTTTTGCCTCAGAGGGCAATCGGTGTGATATATTACGTGCGTCAATGGCCGACTGTTTTGTTTCGTTTGCCTCAACGGGCGAGGACCAACGAGCACTGTCAGGCAGAAAGTTGAGTGACAACCTCTCGGTATCTGGGACTGTTTGTCTTTTAAGTGCACTCAAGTACATGGCGTCTCCTTTCGTAAGGATCTGATCTACGATGGCGGCAGTCCAGTGTTCGATTGGCAAAGTCTGAGCACATAACAGCGCGGAAAAACTCATGAAAGAACATTGTCTTCCCCGTAAAATGTCATTAAATCGTTCATGTACTTGATGAATGCTTCAAGCAATAAATAAGTTTGACATAATTAGAGTACGAAAAAGAAAGCTTATTTTATCTTTAAGAAACGAACCTCGGTAAACAACAAATCGACCAACGTGCTTTCAACGTGACACAAATTCATGATAAAACCCGCTGAACAAACATACTG